TCTCCCTTACCCCTTACTCCTCAAAATATTGCTGACATTTGCTTTGTCATCTTAATGTAGCATTATGTTCTGTATGCTAAATACTTTTTTAGCTGTGTGCATGGCTGATGGTTAACCACATACACTTTTTATTGATTTTCGATTTTCTCGTAGACAGCACATAGTTTTTTTTTAAATCTGATTGAATATCATACTGTAAGTTTTTGTTGTTTTTCTCTGTATTTTGCTTTTTTTTTTAACTCGGCCTTTTTATATTAATTGAATATCATAAAGAAGTTAACTTTACAATTGGCTTGTACTATTTTATTCTGTTTATTTAGGACTTGCTTATGGGTTGGCATTATGTACCTTTAACCTTCCGTAGTGTTCAAATACTGTTACAGAATCTTGTAACAATCCACCTTCATTTCCTGGTCAGATTTTCTAAGTGAAAAACATTGTTCGCACAAAGTGTTTACCTCACAGTTCTGGTACTTTTGTTTGGTCCACATTTCCAGCTGGCACTGTTTTCCTGTAATCTAAAGAACTTCTTTCGGGCTGGAGAGATGGCTCAGCAGTTAAGAGCACTAGCTGCTCTTGCAGAGGACCCGGACTCTATTCCCAGAACCCACCTGGCGGCTAACGACCTTCTGTGACTCCAGTTCCAGGGGATCCAGTACCCTCTTCTCACCTCCGCATGCATTGCATGACACAGGTGCACTTACATACATGCAGGCAGTGCACTCATACACATAAAATAAAAATAATCAGTAAATTTTTTTAAAAAAAGAACTTCTTTCATCATTTACTAGAGTTACACCTCTGCTGGTGATTTTCTCAGTGTTTGTCTGAAAAGGTTTTTAATTAGCCTCTACCTTTGAAAGGTTTTGCTGAGTTTTCCAAGCACACATCCTTTTAGCCCTTCACCCGTGTGCGGTTACCCTGTGCTTGCATTGCTTCTGGCAAGAAATTGGAACTTGTTTGTGACTTGTTTTAAAATACAAAGTATCTTTTTTTCCCCTTTGGACTGCTTTTAAGAATACTTCTTCACATTGATTCATTTTTTTTATTATTATGCTGTGCTTCGGTTTAGTATTTTTGGTTTACCCTGCTTGAGGCTCATTGAGCTACAAATTTGAATATCACCAAATTTGAAAGATTTTTGA